GAGGCTGCGTCCACAGCTGTGGCTTGGGTAGCTGCAGCCCCGCCCAAGAGGGCAGGGTTCCTGCCTGCTCTGTGCAGCAGGAGGTCTGGATCTGCTGCCGAGATTTGGGCAGCAGTAGCGGCACCTGGGAGCACCTGGATCCATGGAATGTGCAGCTCCCACTGCGCTTCCCTGTCACAGGTGCCTCCCTGCCACAGGTGCCTCCCTGCTGCAGCCCATGTGATGGCAGCAGCCACTGCCAATACCTGTCAGCCAGGAAAGGAGTATGGTGCCATGGAAAAAAAGAAGCATTAGATAGAGGTTCAGCTGTTAAAATGTTTCCATTGGAGTGCAACGTTCAAACAGAAGAGTGCGTGAATCCAAGTGGATGTGGATGTGTTTTCACAACCAGCACCCAGATCAAACAACAGAACAAGAACAGCACTGGAAACCCCCTCTCCACCCACGAAGGGTAACCGCCATCCTGACGTCAAACACCAGGTTTACTTTACCTTTTTTTCATTAAATACTGGGTCAACAGAATTTCACATTATGTGAGATTCATCCAAGTAGATCTGGGTAGTTATCATTTGTTTATTCTCATGACCATTTTGTTTTATTTATTTTACATATTTTACATTCTAATTTTAATTTATATATATTTTTTATTGTTTTAATTTTATACATGGTCTTATTCCGTCACCTGGGCTGAAGTATAGTGATTTAGGCTCACCGCATCCTTGAAATCCTGGGCTCAAGTGATCCTCCCACCTCAGGTGTCCCGAGTAGGTGACTACAGGTGCACCACCATGCTCAACTAATTTTTAATTTTTTTGTAGGGGGAGGGTCTCACTGTGTTGCCCAGGTTGGTCTTGGACTCATGGGCTCCTAAAATGCTGGGATGAATTGCAGGCATGAGCCACCACACCTGGCCCATTTTATTTTTAATTGACAAATAATTGTATATGTTTATGGGGTATGATGTGACGTTTTGATATATTTATAGATACACACATAGTAGAATGATTAAATAAAGCTAATTAACATATCCATCACCTCACATACTTATTTTTTTGTGATGACAACATTTAAAGTCTACTCAATTTTGAAATATATAATATTGTTTACTTTTTCCTTGTGAGACTTCCACAATTTACCCATTATCTCAAGGGATGTGTGGCTTGCTTCCAGACTGGCTATTACAAATAGCGCAGTTATGCACATCTCATCCTCATGCTTTGGTGAACTCTCGTGCACATCTGGTTTATAAATATCTAGGAGTGTAATTGCTGGGGATGGATTCAATTAGGCCACTTGCCACGCACAAACTTTGTGAACCAAGGCGCGTTATTAAGCTTTTTTTTGAGACGGAGTTCTGCTCTGTTGCCCAGGTTGGAGTGCCGTGGCGCAATCTCGGCTCACTGTAACCTCTGCCTCCAGGGTTCAAGTGATTCTCCTGCCTCAGTCTTCCAAGTAGCTGGGATTACAGGTGTGCACCACCACACCCAGCTAATTTTTTTGTATTTTTAGTAGAGATGGGGTTTCAGCATGTTGGCCAAGCTGGTCTCAAACTCCTGATCATAGGTGATTCACCCACCTTGGCCTCCCCAAGTGCTGGAATTACAGGTGTGAGCCACTGTTATTTAGTTTTTCTGAAACTCACTTTTCATATCTGTATATCGGAAATAAAAATACTTGCCCCTGAGTGTTGTGGCCTGGACTCAATATAATTATTTCAGCAAGGCACCTGACCTGAATATCGTTCTTTCTCTCTTTTCTCCTTCCTCTGCCAGCCAGAGCACCCTCTGCCCCAAGACACAGCTTTCCCATGATAGTCTCTTTGCCAGGAACCCTCAACATGAACCTGCAAAGCTTGCCTGCTGCCCAGGGTTGGTAGGGTTGCCTTTCCCCACTGCCTATTGGCCAGCTCTCCTTTGGGAGCTAGGCGGATATCTTCAGAATACTCAACAGAATGCTCCAGGCTGCCCCTACATAGTGACAGACATCAGCTCTATCTTGCTCTGTCTTGGCAGAGCCCCTGTGGGCAGGGCTTCCACTCAGACTCCCTCCCTCATGGCCTGATTCAGGGTGTTTCAGGAAGAGTAAGTTTTTCCTGGTCCTATGGCTTATAGACATATATTCTCCACATCACTTAATTCCCCTATTCCCTGTATGTCAGTTCTCTAGTTCATGCACTTCATTAATCACTGTCATCCAGAATTTTTTTGCCTCCCAAGAAATCTTTGTTTAATACTTCATGGAAACCGTTGAAGGGGCCAGCTGGGTGGCAAAGTTATGATTACTTAAAAAAATACTAGCAGCCTAGGCAACATAGTAAGACCCCCATCTCTACAAAAAGTAGAAAAATTAGCCAGTTATGGTGGCTCATGCCTGTGGTCTCAGCTACTTGGTAGGCTTAGACGAGAGGATCGCTTGGGCCTAAGAGGTTGAGGCTGCAGGGAGCTATGATCGTGCCACTGCACTCCAGCCTGGGTGACAGAGCGAGGACCCTGTCCTAACAAAAAACACAAACTTAGCAGTTAAGATTTCCTCCTAGGCCGGGCGCGGTGGCTCACGCCTGTAATCCCAGCACTTTGTGAGGCTGAGGCGGGTGGATCACGAGGTCAAGAGATCGAGACTATCCATGGTGAAACCCCGTCTCTACTAAAAATACAAAAAAACATTAGCTGGGCATGGTGGCGCGTGCCTGTCATCCCAGCTACTCAGGAGGTTGAGGCAGGAGAATTGCCTGAACCCAGGAGGCGGAGGTTGCAGTGAGCCGAGATCGCGCCATTGCACTCCAGCCTGGGTAGCAAGAGTGAAACTCCGTCTCAAAAAAAAAAAAAAAAAAAAAAGGATTTCCTCCTGAAAAACTTTCAAAAGACAAAAGGTCTTCTATCTGCTGTTTAAAAATATATAGCTTAGATTTTGAACAGATAACGTATTCACACATATTCCCATGTAAAAGATACTAAAGAGTCAATAGGAAAGAAAGGCTCTTTCTGGCCCCATAGTCACCCTGTTGCCTTCCTTGGAGGCAGCCAATATTAGTTTCGTTTTCTTTTTTTTTCTTTCTTTTTTTGAGATGGAGTTTTGTTCTTGTTGCCCAGGCTGAAGTGCAGGGGTGTGATCTTGGCTCACTGCAACCTCTGTCTCCTGGGTTCAAGCGGTTCTACCTCAGCCTCCTGAGTAGCTGGGATTACAGGCATGCACCACCATGCCCAGCTAATTTTGTATTTTTAGTAGAGACAAGGTTTCTCCATGTTGGTCAGGCTGGTCTCAAACTCCCGACCTCAGGTGATCTGCCTGCCTTGGCCTTCCAAAGTGCTGGGATTACAGGTGTGAGCCACCACGCCCAGCTGCCAATATTAGTTTCTAGTGAAGAGGTAAGCACTTTTTTCTATAAGGCAACAGGTTGAGAAGACATTTCAGGCTTTGTGGGCAGACCTCCATTCTAGAGTATCCTTCAAGAAGCTGGGCGCGGTGGCTCACGCCTGTAATCCTAGCACTTTGGGAGGCCGAGGTGGGTGGATCACCTGAGGTCACGAGTTCAAGACCAGCCTGGCCATCATGGTGAAACCCCATCTTAAAAAAAAAACAAAAACAAACCAGAGTATCCTTCAAGAGAAATTATATGCAAAACCAAGAACGTACATATTCACGTCTTCTCCCGTAACTCTCCCCAAATGGTGGCATACTATACAGACTGCTCTGGACTTGGTTTTTATCAGTTAAACTAGAGGTTGGCAAACCATGGCCCACCAGCCAAGGCCAGCCCACCACCTGTTGCTGTAAGTCATTTTATTGGAACCTCTGCTCATTTGTTTACATATTATCTGTGGCTGCTCTCGTGTTGCAGTGGCAGGGCCGAGTAGTTGCAACACAGACCGCATGGCTGGCAAAGGCTAAAATATTTACTATCTGGCCTTTTACAGAAAAAGTTTGCTGACCTCTGAGCTCAACAGTGTCTCAAGCCTTCCATATCAGCACAGAACGAGCTTCCTCACTTTTTTTTCAAGGTGGCGTACTATTCTGTTGTATGGCTGCAGTATAACTTTTTTTTTTTTTTTTTTGAGACGGAGTTTCACTCTTGTTACCCAGGCTGGAGTGCAATGGCGCCATCTCGGCTCACCGCAACCTCCGCCTCCTGGGTTCAGGCAATTCTCCTGCCTCAACCTCCTGAGTAGCTGGGATTACAGGCACGCACCACCATGCCCAGCTAATTTTTTTTTGTATTTTTAGTAGATACGGGGTTTCACCATGTTGCCCAGGATGGTCTTGATCTCTTGACCTCGTGATCCACCCGCCTCGGCCTCGCAAAGTGCTGGGATTACAGGCGTGAGCCACCGCGCCCGGCCAGTATAACTTATTTTTAATCAGGCTCTTTTAATGGATAGTTAGGTCATTTTTTACTTTTTTTTGTTGCTTAAGACAGGATCTCACTATGTTGCCCAGGCTGAACTCAAGTGATCCTCTCACCTCAGCCCCCAGAGTAACAGGCCACAGCTGTGATTCACAATGCCTGGCTCATTTCTAACTTTTTTTGCTGCTGCAAATAACGCTGCAATGAATAAGCTTATACTTACCTCATTTCTGCATGCGTGAATGTATTTCCAGGATGAAGCCTGGAAATAGAATTCCTCGATCAAAGACTGTGTGTATTGATAATGTTTATAGCTATTGTCAAATTGCCCTCTGTGGAGGCTGTACCAACTGGCATTCTCACCAATGTTATGAAAGTGTCCATTTTGCCCTACTCTTTTTTTTTTTTTGAGACAGAGTTTTGCCCTCGTTGCCCAGGCTAGAGTGCAGTGGCACAATCTCGGCTCACTGCAACCTCTGCCTTCTGGGTTCAAGTGATTATCCTGCCTTAGCCTCCTGAGTTGCTGGGATTACAGGCATGTGCCACGACCCCTGGCTTTATTTTGGACTTTTAGTAGAGATGGGGTTACTCCATGTTGGTCTGGCTGGTCTTGAACTCCCAACCTCAGGTGATCTGCCTGCCTCGGCCTCCCAAAGTGCTGGGATTACAGGCATGAGCCACTGCGCCCGGCCCATTTGGCTCTACCTTTGTCAGCAGAATATTTTAAGCCTTTTGATATTTACCAATCTGCCAGGTAAAAAAAAAAATAAAAAGGTATCCCAGGGTAACTTGCTTTGCATGCCTTTTATTCTGATGCATTGCACATTCTTCCATGCATTTACGAGGTGTGTGCTCCTTCCTCGGCTGGCAGTTTACTGTCCTGGTCTGAGGATCTTCTGGGGACTGGTCTCTCTTGCTGACTCTTTTGTGTCCTTTTCACAGGCAAGCTTTTGGGGAATAAAAGTCTTAAGGACAAACATATGCTGGCAATCAGCCCCATCGACGTTCCAGATATCGGGGCTAGGAAGGGAGGGGGAGACCTGCTGGGGGTCATCGTTCTGCTCTGAACTAGGAAGACTAACTTTCATAGGGTTCTTAGTGTCCTCTTCCTCCAGGGAGCTCCTGTTGACACAGACAGCCTCATGTTCCTCCAGTTTTTTGATGGAGACCACATGGCAGGCGTTGTATTTGCAGATGGCCATCTTTTTGGCTTTCTTGGGGTTCTTTCTCCTGCATGATGCCAGGTGGTACTGGAGTCTCCTGAGTGGGATTCGGTGGTGAGGATCATAAGGGCAAACTTCAAAGGCTTCTGGCTCCATGAGAAATTCTTGAAGCAGGGTATCTCACTGCAAAGAGTCTAACGGAAATGCTTCTGTGGAAAAGCCCTTTTGTAAGAAGGTTGGAGCTGTCCTCTGCCCAGTGTTGGCCCTTGGGATTCTGTAGGTGAAGGTCTTAACTTGTGGTCTCTGTTCTCTAGGATCATGAGTGGTGGATTAGAAGATCGATGAGGAGCCGTCAAAAGCAGCTATACAGAGAACAGAGCTAGCACATGGCACCTGAGACAGAACCATATACAGCAGATGCAAGAGCTGAAAAACCACAGCAGCTGTTCAGGGAGGTATAGGAAACAGCCATCAGCCCCTGCCTGAGTCTGAGGGAGGGATACACTGTGATGTCAAGTGGCAGTCACCGGTGGTCACCATGGGCAGCCTAAGTCATCAGGAAGAGGCTATTGTGCACTGCTTTGGCGGGGTGGATGGCTTTGGTGAATGCTGCCATCTAAAATTGTTCATGGATGTATGTTGTGACTTAAATCTTTTAACTGCACATATTTATTTAACGTAATTCTTGATATATTTGCATTTAAATCTACCATCTTATTTTGTACTTTCTAACCTATTCTTTGGTTTTTCTCCTTTCTCCTCATATTTTATTTTATTTTATTTTATTTTATTTTTTTGAGACGGAGTTTCACTCACGTTACCCAGGCTGGAGTGCAATGGCGCGATCTCAGCTCACCGCAACCTCCGCCTCCTGGGTTCAGGCAATTCTCCTGCCTCAGCCTCCTGAGTAGCTGGGATTATAGGCACGCACCACCATGTCCAGCTAATTTTTTGTATTT